ACCTCTCCTCGTAGGACATACCTCTTAGCTCTGGGACTAGTCTTGTTGCAAACCTTTGCATTTTCTCTAGTTTCTTTACGTGCTTGGCTAGGTGTGGGTTCCAAACTGGTGCCGCATACTCCAATATGGGCCTAACGTACACGGTGTACAGGGTCCTGAACGATTCCTTATTAAGATGTCGGAATGCTGTTCTGAGGTTTGCTAGGCGCCCATATGCTGCAGCAGTTATTTGGTTGATGTGCGCTTCAGGAGATGTGCCTGGTGTTATACTCACCCCAAGATCTTTTCCCTTGAGTGAGGTTTGTAGTCTCTGGCCCCCTAGACTGTACTCCGTCTGCGGTCTTCTTTGTCCTTCCCCAATCTTCATGACTTTGCACTTGGTGGGGTTGAACTCCAGGAGCCAATTGCTGGACCAGGTCTGCAGCCTGTCCAGATCCCTTTGTAGTTCTGCCTGGTCTTCGATCGAATGAATTCTTCTCATCAACTTCACGTCATCTGCAAACAGGGACACTTCGTGTGTGTGTGTATGTGTACTCACCTAGTTGAGGTTGCAGAGGTCGAGTCCAAGCTCCTGGCCCCGATTTCAGAGACTGAAATGTGTGTGTGTGTGTGTGTGTGTGTGTGTGTGTGTGTGTGTGTGTGTGTGTGTGTGTGTGTGTGTGTGTGTGTGTGTGTGTGTGTGTGTGTGTGCGTGTGTGTGTGTGTGTGTGACTCAACAATTAATATTTGCACCAATAACTCACAGTTGTGACCGGGTGTGGACGTGTGAATTGCTCATTACTCTATAATTTGTTCATGAATGTAACCATGTATAAACGTAAGTAAGTAAATTTACTTACATGATTCATTACCTTTGTAACTCGTGATACATTACCTTTGTACCTTGTTTAGATATTAAAACTTTGGGGTCCAGTCTCTGGACCCATTATGCACCTCTGTAATCTGTAAATACCTTTGTAACTTGCCATGATTGTGACCAGATCTACCTGGAGAACAGGGACAGCAAGTACCTACTTACTGCTAAATGAACAGGGACAGCAAGTAGCTACTTACTGCTAGGTGAACAGGGACAGCAAGTACCTACTTACTGCTAAATGAACAGGGACAGAAAGTAGCTACTTACTGCTAGGTGAACAGGGACAGCAAGTATCTACTTACTGCTAGGTGAACAGGGACAGCAAGTACCTACTTACTGCTAGGTGAACAGGGACAGCAAGTATCTACTTACTGCTAGGTGAACAGGGACAGCAAGTACCTACTTACTGCTAGGTGAACAGGGACAGTAAGTACCTACTTACTGCTAGATGAACAGGGACAGCAAGTACCTACTTACTGTTAGATGAACAGGGGCAGCAGGTACCTACTTACTGCTAGGTGAACAGGGACAGCAAGTACCTACTTACTGCTAGGTGAACAGGGACAGCAAGTACCTACTTACTGTTAGATGAACAGGGACAGCAAGTACCTACTTACTGTTAGATGAACAGGAACAGCAGGTACCTACTTACTGCTAGGTGAACAGGGACAGCAAGTACCTACTTACTGCTAGGTGAACAGGGACAGCAAGTACCTACTTACTGCTAGGTGAACAGGGACAGCAAGTACCTACTTACTGCTAGATTACCTGGAGTTTACCTGGAGAGAGTTTCGGGGGTCAACGCCCCCGCGGCCCGGTCTGTGACCAGGCCTCCTGGTGGATCAGCGCCTGATCAACCAGGCTGTTGCTGCTGGCTGCACGCAAACCAACGTACGAGCCACAGCCCGGCTGATCAGTGCCAGCTTGAAGACTGCCAGGGGTCTGTTGGTAATCCCCCTTATGTGTGCTGGGAGGCAGTTGAACAGTCTCGGTCCCCTGACACTTATTGTATGGTCTCTTAACGTGCTAGTGACACCCCTGCTTTTCATTGGGGGGATGGTGCATCGTCTGCCAAGTCTTTTGCTTTCGTAGTGAGTGATTTTCGTGTGCAAGTTCGGTACTAGTCCCTCTAGGATTTTCCAGGTGTATATAATCATGTATCTCTCCCTCCTGCGTTCCAGGGAATACAGGTTTAGAAACCTCAAGCGCTCCCAGTAATTGAGGTGTTTTATCTCCGTTATGCGCGCCGTGAAAGTTCTCTGTACATTTTCTAGGTCGGCAATTTCACCTGCCTTGAAAGGTGCTGTTAGAGTGCAGCAATATTCCAGCCTAGATAGAACAAGTGACCTGAAGAGTGTCATCATGGGCTTGGCCTCCCTAGTTTTGAAGGTTCTCATTATCCATCCTGTCATTTTTCTAGCAGATGCGATTGATACAATGTTATGGTCCTTGAAGGTGAGATCCTCCGACATAATCACTCCCAGGTCTTTGACGTTGGTGTTTCGCTCTATTTTGTGGCCAGAATTTGTTTTGTACTCTGATGAAGATTTAATTTCCTCATGTTTACCATATCTGAGTAATTGAAATTTCTCATCGTTGAACTTCATATTGTTTTCTGCAGCCCACTGAAAGATTTGGTTGATGTCCGCCTGGAGCCTTGCAGTGTCTGCAATGGAAGACACTGTCATGCAGATTCGGGGTGTCATCTGCAAAGGAAGACACGGTGCTGTGGCTGACATCCTTGTCTATGTCGGATATGAGGATGAGGAACAAGATGGGAGCTAGTACTGTGCCTTGTGGAACAGAGCTTTTCACCGTAGCTGCCTCGGACTTTACTCTGTTGACGACTACTCTCTGTGTTCTGTTAGTGAGGAAATTATAGATCCATCGACCAACTTTTCCTGTTATTCCTTTAGCACGCATTTTGTGCGCTATTACGCCATGGTCACACTTGTCGAAGGCTTTTGCAAAGTCTGTATATATTACATCTGCATTCTTTTTGTCTTCTAGTGCATTTAGGACCTTGTCGTAGTGATCCAGTAGTTGAGACAGACAGGAGCGACCTGTTCTAAACCCATGTTGCCCTGGGTTGTGTAACTGATGGGTTTCTAGATGGGTGGTGATCTTGCTTCTTAGGACCCTTTCAAAGATTTTTATGATATGGGATGTTAGTGCTATTGGTCTGTAGTTCTTTGCTGTTGCTTTACTGCCCCCTTTGTGGAGTGGGGCTATGTCTGTTGTTTTTAGTAACTGAGGGACGACCCCCGTGTCCATGCTCCCTCTCCATAGGATGGAAAAGGCTCGTGATAGGGCTTCTTGCAGTTCTTGATGAACACAGAGTTCCATGAGTCTGGCCCTGGGGCAGAGTGCATGGGCATGTCATTTATCGCCTGTTCGAAGTCATTTGGCGTCAGGATAACATCGGATAGGCTTGTGTTAATCAAATTTTGTGGCTCTCTCATAAAAATTCATTTTGATCTTCGACTCTCAGTCTGGTTAGCGGCTTGCTAAAAACTGAGTCATATTGGGACTTGAGTAGCTCACTCATTTCCTTGCTGTCATCTGTGTAGGACCCATCTTGTTTAAGTAGGGGCCCAATACTGGACGTTGTTCTCGATTTTGATTTGGCATAGGAGAAGAAATACTTTGGGTTTCTTTCGATTTCATTTATGGCTTTTAGTTCTTCCCGCGATTCCTGACTCCTAAAGGATTCTTTTAGCTTAAGTTCGATGCTTGCTATTTCTCTGACCAGTGTCTCCCTGCGCATTTCTGATATATTGACCTCTTTTAGCCGCTCTGTTATTCTTTTCCGTCGCCTGTAAAGGGAGCGCCTGTCTCTTTCTATTTTACATCTACTCCTCCTTTTTCTTAGAGGAATAAGCCTTGTGCATACATCGAGTGCCACCGAGTTAATCTGTTCTAGGCATAAGTTTGGGTCTGTGTTGCTTAGTATATCTTCCCAGCTTATATCGGTTAGGACTTGGTTTACTTGGTCCCACTTTATGTTTTTGTTATTGAAGTTGAATTTGGTGAATGCTCCCTCGTGACTAGTCTCATTTTGTCGGTCTGAGGCTCCACGCATACATGTCTGAACCTCAATTATGTTGTGATCTGAGATGAACAGGGTCAGCAAGTATCTACTTACTGCTAGATGAACAGGGACAGCAAGTACCTACTTACTGCTAGATGAACAGAGACAGCAAGTACCTACTTACTGCTAGATGAACAGGGACAGCAAGTACCTACTTACTGCTAGATGAACAGAGACAGCAAGTACCTACTTACTGCTAGATGAACAGGGACAGCAAGTACCTACTTACTGCTAGATGAACAGGGACAGCAAGTACCTACTTACTGCTAGATGAACAGGGACAGCAAGTACCTACTTACTGCTAGATGAACAGGGACAGCAAGTACCTACTTACTGCTAGATGAACAGGGACAGCAAGTACCTACTTACTGCTAGGTAAACAGGGACAACAGGTATAAAGAAACATGCCCAACGTTTGTACCCGTGCTGGGGATCGATCCCAGACCCTCGGTGTGTAAGCCGACGTCTCCTCAAGTCACATTTCTTACTGTTTCTACAAAAATATATATTTCTGAACTGTAACTTATGCAAAATTTCATTAATTTATTAATTAAAATTAAACAAAAAATTAAAATCCTTATAAAAGGGCGCCAAGTGACGTCACCAAGTATTTCATCACTGACAATAAGCATTCAAGACTAATTTAAAACTAGAGTTATATGAGTGTTTTTTCAATTAAGATATGTGTACTAGAGTCCGATAGACAGAATATAAAGGAAAATACATTTTGACAGGAAGACACTGAAGAATAGAGAGGAGAGAGAGAGAGAGTAATGATTTTTTGTTAGGATTAGTAAGTCAGTAAATGTATTTAGGCTCAGATACACATAAGTACAATTATCATATATAGTGTTAATTACCTATGATAATCCAAAAAAGTCAAACACAGTGGCTTATTTCCGCTGGGGTCCTTGTAAGATTAGTTTATCCGAAATGTAATGTATACCATTGGCTTTTCATTTGGTGCCCACCAATGTTTTATTACACGTAATACGTAAAATACATTTTTTTGACAGCCCAAAGAAATAAAAGTTTGCATTAGTTGTTATTTAATAATTGTTGTTGGTCACTAGTGAATGTTGTGAGCGGCGGAGAGGCTGGTGTTGTGATGATCAGCGGCTCATAGTGTCTCACTATACTCACTATAACTCACTCTTAACTCACACTATACCACCATGGAGGCACTCATCCCCATCATTAACAAGCTGCAGGATGTGTTTAACACTGTGGGAGCTGATGCCATCCAGCTGCCTCAGATAGTGGTGGTCGGCACTCAGGTACACCACAACACTCAATATTCAATAACAGTTGAAAAACAATTATGGGGGAAGTTGAATGATAGCTCTAGGTCTTTCTTGTTGTAATCAACACATTAGGAGCTTGCAATGTTACAGAAAAGAGGAAGTCCAAGCAAATTTGTTCAGATTAACGTTTTTTGCTCGAGCAAAAAACGTTAATCTAAAACGAATTTGCTTGAATTTCCTCTTTTCTGTAACATAGTAAGTTCTAATATATTGATTGTAACATGAAGGCCTAGAGCTGTCACTCAACTCTCCCTGTACTTTTGTATCTTGTATCATTTGTTCGCGATATTGCTCACTTAAGTTTTTTTTCTTTACCAGACCAATAACGTAATATCAGTTTTAACGTATTATAATATTAATTAAGTGTTGACACTGTGTTTAAATATTTGTCTTAAGAAACCAAGCTGTTGAACGTATGTTATGTAGGTATGATCAGAAACGCTTATCTGTAATAAATATTAAAATTTATAGCAAGAATTTGTTAAAAAATTAAAAAGAATTTGTTAGAAAGTAATAAAGGAGAAATGTAAGTAATATGGTGGCCACAAATAATGTGATGAAAATGATTAATCTTGACAAACTTGACAGAACTCGACATTGATGGATAAATTTGGTTTTTAGAAAGGACCCCAATAGATATACAAGGATCCCAATGGAAATAAGTCGCTGTCTGGCTTTTTTTTTTTTTTTGGTTATCCTAGGTAATTACACATATGCTGCTATGTATGATAATTTATATAACCATTTATTTGTACCTGTACCTGAATAAACTTACTAAATAGGTCTAATGTTGTAATAAAGTTGAGTGGAATTAGCTGTTAATTAGCATCATTAAAAGGAATACTTCAAGTAGCTTTAAATAAAAATAATTTGTGGACTAGTTCAAGTGTTATTAAACAATGTCTGGTTAAGTCACCAAGTTTTCAAATCTGTGATGCCAGTGAGTTATCCAGCTGGAAAGTTCATTAACGTTTTAAAATATAATCATGAATTACTCAGTAGCACACTTTAAATCAAGGTTAGTGCTTGCCTGTACTCTTCCTAAACTTGTATATAAGAGAACTCTTCACCAGAAGGACAATGTCAGAGGCTTCTCCTGAGTGATTAGTGACTTAAAAAACATAGGTGAGATCACTGACATTCACCTTGAACAACACGAAGCAAAGTTTCGAAACCAACAGTACTATGCCTGGGATGGGCCAGTAGACCCACAATATGACTTGGTTCATATGATATTGATGATAATTGATGATGATGAGTGGTTCACATGTGTGGTCCCAGACCAGGCCTTTTCTATGAGGTCACTTGGCATTTGGCTTCTCATTTGGGGAGTCATAACATTGTTAATTCATAATGTTTTGCCTCGGGAAGAGGAGTTCCTCTTCATCTTCTGGGACACTTGCTGTCCCGAGTCTTAGCAACAATCCCTGCCCTTGCAGGGAGAAGTTAGGGACATTTGTGCTGGAGTAGCAGTTAGCTACTTTTGATGTCATGGTGTCTTAGTTCACCGATGTTCACTGGTGTGACTGGTCTGCCACTGGTGTTCACTGGTCTGCCACTGGTGTTCACTGGTCTGCCACTGGTGTTCACTGGTCTGCCACTTATCTCGCCCCTACAAGGCTTGTAGGGCGTGGCAGATATGGTGGAGCAACAGATGGTGTTGTGCCTTTCCATATGATATTATGTGATAGTTTGGTAGTAAACTTGTATCAGGTGTGGGAAGGGAAGGGTGGAAGGTAAGTGTATCAGCAGGTATTGAGAACTTGGAATCAAATCGATGTTCCATGGTAATCATAGATTAATGATTGTGCAGTAGTAATTCTTTAAAAATTCATCTTTTGTTGATTGTTTATTTGTCAACATCATACAGAAATATTACAATGCATATTAGTAATTTACATTCATTTTTTTTTTATTATCACACTGGCCGATTCCCACCAAGGCAGGGTGGCCCGAAAAAGAAAAACTTTCACCATCATTCACTCCATCACTGTCTTGCCAGAAGGGTGCTTTACACTACAGTTTTTAAACTGCAACATTAACACCCCTCCTTCAGAGTGCAGGCACTGTACTTCCCATCTCCAGGACTCAAGTCCGGCCTGCCGGTTTCCCTGAACCCCTTCATAAATGTTACTTTGCTCACACTCCAACAGCACGTCAAGTATTAAAAACCATTTGTCTCCATTCACTCCTATCAAACACGCTCACACATGCCTGCTGGAAGTCCAAGCCCCTCGCACACAAAACCTCCTTTACCCCCTCCCTCCAACCTTTCCTAGGCCGACCCCTACCCTGCCTTCCTTCCACTACAGACTGATACACTCTTGAAGTTATTCTGTTTCGCTCCATTCTCTCCACATGTCCGAACCACCTCAACAACCCTTCCTCAGCCCTCTGGACAACAGTTTTGGTAATCCCGCACCTCCTCCTAACTTCCAAACTACGAATTCTCTGCATTATATTCACACCACACATTGCTCTCAGACATGACATCTCCACTGCCTCCAGCCTTCTCCTCGCTGCAACATTCATCACCCATGCTTCACACACATATAAGAGCGTTGGTAAAACTATACTCTCATACATTCCCCTCTTTGCCTCCAAGGACAAAGTTCTTTGTCTCCACAGACTCCTAAGTGCACCACTCACTCTTTTCCCCTCATCAATTCTATGATTCACCTCATCTTTCATAGACCCATCCGCTGACACGTCCACTCCCAAATATCTGAATACATTCACCTCCTCCATACTCTCTCCCTCCAATCTGATATCCAATCTTTCATCACCTAATCTTTTTGTTATCCTCATAACCTTACTCTTTCCTGTATTCACTTTCAATTTTCTTCTTTTGCACACCCTACCAAATTCATCCACAAATCTCTGCAACTTCTCTTCAGAATCTCCCAAGAGCACAGTGTTATCAGCAAAGAGCAACTGTGACAACTCCCACTTTATGTGTGATTCTTTATCTTTTAACTCCACGCCTCTTGCCAAGACCCTCGCATTTACTTCTCTTACAACCCCATCTATAAATATATTAAACAACCGCGGTGACGTCACACATCCTTGTCTAAGGCCTACTTTTACTGGGAAATAATTTCCCTCTTTCCTACATACTCTAATTTGAGCCTCACTATCCTCGTAAAACTCTTCACTGCTTTCAGTAACCTACCTCCTACACCATACACCTGCAACATCTGCCACATTGCCCCCCTATCCACCCTGTCATACGTCTTTTCCAAATCCATAAATGCCACAAAGACCTCTTTAGCCTTATCTAAATACTGTTCACTTATATGTTTCACTGTAAACACCTGGTCCACACACCCTCTACCTTTCCTAAAGCCTCCTTGTTCATCTGCTATCCTATTCTCCGTCTTACTCTTAATTCTTTCAATAATAACTCTACCATACGCTTTACCAGGTATACTCAACAGACTTATCCCCTATAATTTTGCACTCTCTTTTATCCCCTTTGCCTTTATACAAAGGAACTATGCATGCTCTCTGCCAATCCCTAGGTACCTTACCCTCTTCCATACATTTATTAAATAATTGCACCAACCACTCCAAAACTATATCCCCACCTGCTTTTAACATTTCTATCTGTATCCCATCAATCCCGGCTGCCTTACCCCCTTTCATTTTACCTACTGCCTCACGAACTTCCCCACACTCACAACTGGTTCTTCCTCACTCCTACAAGATGTTGTTCCTCCTTGCCCAATACACGAAATCACAGCTTCCCTATCTTCATCAACATTTAACAATTCCTCAAAATATTCCCTCCATCTTCCCAATACCTCTAACTCTCCATTTAATAACTCTCCTCTCCTATTTTTAACTGACAAATCCATTTGTTCTCTAGCTTTCTTAACTTGTTAATCTCACTCCAAAACTTTTTCTTATTTTCAACAAAATTTGTTGATAACATCTCACCCACTCTCTCTCATTTGCTCTCTTTTTACATTGCTTCACCATCTCTTAACCTCTCTCTTTTTCTCCATATACTCTTCCCTCCTTGCATCACCTTCTACTTTGTAAAAACTTCTCATATGCTAACTTTTTCTCCTTACTACATCTCTTTAACAACATCATCTCACCATTCGCTCCTCTTCCCTCCTGCACCCACTTTTCTGTAACCACAAACTTCTGCTGAACACTAACACTACATTTTTAAACCTACCCCATACCTCTTTGACCCCATTGCCTATGCTCTCATTAGCCCCTCTATCCTCCAATAGCTGTTTATATCTTACCCTAACTGCCTCCTCTTTTAGTTTATAAACCTTCACCTCTCTCTTCCCTGATGCTTCTATTCTCCTTGTATCCCATCTACCTTTTACTCTCAGTGTAGCTACAACTAGAAAGTGATCTGATATATCTGTGGCCCCTCTATAAACATGTACATCCTGAAGTCTACTCAATAGTCTTTTATCTACCAATACATAATCCAACAAACTACTGTCATTTTGCCCTACATCATATCTTGTATACTTATTTATCCTCTTTTTCTTAAAATATGTATTACCTATAACTAAACCCCTTTCTATACAAAGTTCAATCAAAGGGCTCCCATTATCATTTACACCTGGCACCCCAAACTTACCTACCACACCCTCTCTAAAAGTTTCTCCTACTTTAACATTCAGGTCCCCTACCACAATTACTCTCTCACTTGGTTCAAAGGCTCCTATACATTCACTTAACATCTCCCAAAATCTCTCTCTCTCCTCTGCATTCCTCATATACAGTATATTACTTATCGCCTATGTTCACTATACCAGTAATTAATGTAATGGGGATTGCTGTTTTTCCTGTTAATGTATTTTTGGTTGATGGAACTGAGCATAAAGGTAAATTTTTTTATTGGTTTGATAGCTTTCATAATTCTGGTTATTTTCCTTCTTGGTGATATACAACTTATTTCACTATGGGCAATGTTAAGTAAAATTTGGTAATTTGTGATTCATCTGGTAGTGCTCTCCTCTCACATAGGGAGACCGGGGATCACTCTCTAATGTGGGTGAAACATTGGGCATGTTTCCTTACACTTGTTGCCGCTGTTTACCTAGCAGTATGTAGGTACCTAGGTATTAGAAGACTGTTGTTAGTTGCACCTTGGGGAAGAAGATTGTAGGGCCTAACAGAAATAAAACAGTCCTCGATAACTCGCAGACTTTATTGGGTTATCCTCGATGGCTAATCCTCTAGGATAAAAATTTGAGCAAAATCTTGTTTTAGAGAAAATTGTTTTGCATATTTTTGCCTTTTGAGGTAGAACTAAAATTTTGACACTACACTTGCAATTTATTCACTGTCTTAAAGTCCACTAAGTCACACTGGTGGTTGTCAGAAGAAAAATTCTGTTGACTACTTTTGGTTCACTTGTGGCTGACGACCTTTGGCACATAATTGATGTTACTTATTTTCGCCCATAAAGGAAGCGATGTATGTAAGTAGCAGCCGGCTCATTAATACAGAACTGTTTACTATAATGCATTTACCGGTACTGTAAAATATGTTGTTTTCTCCAGATCTCACATATATGTAGTTACTTCCCTGATAATATTCTTGATATGTAAAATTAATTCTGTAGTGTCCTGATGTAGCATATTTTTTGTCTAATATACTTTTTTTATGCATTGCTCTCTCTAGAGCTCAGGAAAAAGTAGCGTATTGGAGAGCTTGGTGGGACGCTCATTTCTTCCTCGAGGGATTGGCATTGTTACCCGTCGACCATTAGTTCTGCAGTTAGTATACACATCACGCGATGACAACCAACATCGATCAGCAGAGGCAGGTGGGTACCATAGGTTTTTTTTTACAATATCTGTTAGTATGTGGTTACTAGTATCTTGTGTTCCTCAAATAGATGGCAGATGCATGATACATCATCCGTAGCAACTAGAAGTTCAGTACAGTAGTACTTTGTTGTATTACCCTGAAGTTTACATCATGTTTATCATTCCTGCATAAATTGTTTAAAAATACACAAGTCAAAGATTACATACTAGTAGCAGTGTGGAAACTATCTGAGTTTCATGCAACACATTCATTCTGGCAAAGATGATTTTTTCTCATGATTAAAATAGTGCAGTAGTGTAGTTAGATATTATGAATGCTCATTATGGTAGTCATTAAAATTATCCCCTTGGGTGGTTTCAAAAATAGGTTACACAAACAATATATACGAGTGAGAGGGGTTGTATTTGAGAAAGAATTGCATAGTATGGGCTTGTAAGCCTACTGCATTGCACCGCCATTCTTTTGTTCTTGTTAGTTCTTTTAGTTGTTTTAAAGTGGATGTTTTCCCTAGGAGGACAGCGTTGTAAGGTAAGATTACTGTTTATGTAACTTGTTTTAGTTGTAAATATTCCATTTAATCTTTTAATTAGAAGAAAACTTTGCTTTTTTTTGTGATTGAACATTCATACATTGAATATTGAATTATCATCGTTATTGTTAAGAAACAGCATTTTACTACTGACAAGAAAAGAGGCCAGCAGGTAAATCAATTTGGCAATTCTCAAGTGATGCTATGCGGTCCCCTCGTGCCCCTCCCCGCAAGAAAGGTGGGTCCAGACAAAGCCTCTGTGACTCTTCAGCCTCAGGCAACCATGCACCAGTAAATCATTGTGAGAAAAACTATGCTCTTTAAGTTTTGCAACTGCTAACATAGTGTTCAAAACTGAATCAATGGCCCTGTGATATCTTTTAATGACCAAGCTTATTAAATGTAGGTATTTTTGGTAGTAATTATGAATTTATTGTTTGATAAACTAAAGGAAAATTGGACCTTTTATTGTGCCTGCTTAATTAGCTAGTGTGATTGTACATAGAACCTATGCATGTTATGAAATGGCACAACAAATCCATAGGGAGACAATAAAATAAAGATAAGAGGAATATTGTAGATTTTAACCTTGCACTGAGGCCTTCAGCAAACTAAAGTGTTTCAGAGGCATGTCTGATGACCCGAGTCATTGATAAGATCAAGTGAAGTCAAGGCAAGGATAGCTCATAGCATCAGGTTTCTGCTGTTTGGCAGTTGTTGAAATTGGGCTGTAATGCAGTCTTTACTGCCTCTCGGATTTTAAGCTTGTTCAAAAGAGTTCTACAATGGAAGCAGCTACCCAGGTAATAGTATGGTTATGATTCCTAATGTGTTTGAAAAGTGCCAGAGTGTTGTGTGCACACTGTATCTAACAGTTTCCATATGTTTAGTTCATGGAATATTTAAATATTGACCTGTTTGTTCTATGTATTGAATGGTTATTTTTGACAAGAAATGTCATTACTCCTATCATGGAATATTGTACACACCAGGTTTGTTATGGGTTGTAAGATATTACAATTTAGTATTAGTTTCCCAAAAACAAAACACGTTCATCATTTGTTCAGTCTTGCCAGAAATGTGCTGACATCCCAATTCAGACTATCCTTTCGGCTTCAACCTCCCCACCCCTCAGAGTACAGGGACTGCCTATTCACCTCCAGGACTTGAGTTTGGCTAAGCGGTTTCCCAGAATCCCTTCATAAATGTTACCTTCTCTCATTCTAACAGCATCCCCATTAACCCTTAAACTGTCCAATCGTAGATCTACGTTCATGTGCGTAGCGCTCTGAGCATAAATTACGTTTTTTAACATGCTTTCAAATGGAGAAAATAAAGGTCGGAGCACTATGCACCTAAACGTAGATCTACGTTTGGACAATTTAAGGGTTAAAAACCACTCGCCTAAATTCACTTCTGTCTAACATGCTCACAAGCTTGCTGGATGCTGAATGTCATCTTTTAATGTCTTCATTCTGAATTCTATGAATAATATTCACATAATATATTGTTTTCCAAGCTGCCTTCTCACTGCAATGTTCAGAGCTCATGCCTCACACCCGTATAATAGTGTTGGTACCACTATACTTGGGTAAATTATTCTTTTTACTTGCTTAGATGAACTTTTTTTTAACTTGTCTGTTTTCTGGTTCACCCTGTGTTTCATAGACCTATCTCCCAACATGTTCTCTCCCAAGTATGCAAACACACACATTTCCTCCTCGCTTCCTCCTTACTACCTCCTTCCAGTCTGGAATCAGTGTTTTAGGTGTCTGTATATTCATATTAAACAGATTACATGTTTTTTTTTTCAACAAGTTGACCAATTCCCACTGAGGCAGGGTAACCCAAAAAGAAAGAAAATCCCCAAAAAGAAAATACTTTCATCATCTTTCAACACTTTCACTTCATCATGCATAATTACTATCTTTGCAGAGGCATTCAGATACGACAGTTTAGAAGGGCCTCCAAACTGTCAATATCCCAGACCCCTCCTTTAAAGTGCACACATTGTACTTCCCATTTCTAGGACTCAAGTCCGGCTAAATCTATAATAACCATTCTTCCCTGAATCCCTTAACTAAATATTACCCTGCTTACACGCCAACAGCTCGTATAGCTTACTAAAAAGAAAAAGAAGAAAACCAAATGCATGTATGACTGCAAAATCATAGAATCAGCAATCATTGCATCCTAGCCCAGTTTCATCATCCCATAAGGTTAGTGTAAACCTGATGCTTTTAACTACCCTTGCCCTGCCTTTCCACATGTTTCATCTGCTCATTTGTTAGTTTGTTGAAAAGGGCCTCAGTACTTTCTACTGTTTTATTGTCTCCATACAACTTTGCCACTGATCAGTGCTTATTACATTTGTGTGTCTGGATGTTGCACATTATTTCATGAAAAATTAATTTCATATTGCTTGCTGTAGTTAAAAATAACTACGTAAACTGAAATGTATTAGGTGATGTGATTCTCCCAAAAATTTTGTAAGAAAGATCTCTTTGGAATTGTCTTATGTCTGGTTAATAAAATTAGATGCACATCCTATTATAGAAAAATGAAAATGGGAAAGTAGAGAGATTTCACTGTTCAAAATTTTGGAAAGCATTATTTCTTGGAAATTTGGAATTAGAAACTTTATCCAAAATAAAAAAAAATATTAATTGATCTTGTTAATAAAATGCATTATGAATAAACAAACTGAATTTTTAATAATTTTGTTTTATTACTACTAATGTCATTTGAAATTTACAAGCACAATTTTCTGCGAGATTAAATTTTCAAAAGATTCTAGTTATTTTTTAACTGATTGAAATTTAAGTTTTTCACTCTACATTATGCATGCTGGAGCTTCATATGTGCTTTATCTTTTTGCAAGTTTATATTTACTGTATGTATCTCTTTGCCACCATCTGGGTAAACAGTACAGTGTACAGTGAAGTGTCTTTGTCAACTGACACTTTAACTTACACCCTATTTTGTTTACTATGTTGGCCATTTTCCACTAAGGTAGAAAGCAACAAAGATCATATTTAACATGCTGTTGGAGTGTGAGCAAGATAACATTCATAAAGGGATTCAGAGGAAATGGTTAGTTGAACTTGAGATCTGCACTCTGAAGGATGGTTGGGAATATTGCAGTTCAGAGAGTTATAAATGTTTACTCAGTTCTGGCAAGACAACTATTGATTGAATGATGGTGAAAGTGTTTCCTTCTTTGGGGTCATCCTACTTTGAGAGAGAGCTAACATGGTAAAAAATTATAAATGTGTTAGTTGAAAAGGCAGTGGAGAAAATATCCAAAATTGCCATAAATTCAGTAAGTTAACACCTACAGTGCAGTGGTCCCCATGATAACATGAGAGGGCAAAGGTGACCTGTGGGAGGCTGTTTTTTGTGGGTTGCATAACCCCCTCCTACAAAAAGACAGTGTGTGGGCCCTGCCCCCTTTTGCAAAAAGATAGTGGGGGGATCCCCCCTCCTGCAAAAAAAAAAAAAAAAAACTGATTAGTGAATACAGAGGCTTTATTGTCTAAGCCAGTACTATGCATATTATATAGTGATCCATGAATAAGATAAATTTCTTATTTAAAAATACCTGTATGGACTTAATTTTTTCTAACGCTAAACTTTGTGGTAAATTTTCATTACAGGCACACTGGAGCTGGAGGAATGGGCACAGTTTCTTCACATTAAGGAAAAAATCTTTGTAGATTTTGATGAAGTCAGAGCTGAAATAGAGCGAGAAACGGCCAGAATTGCAGGAAACAACAAAGGAATATGTAATGAGCCAATCAGACTCAAAATTTTCTCTGATAAAGTTGTAAATTTAACTGTCGTGGATTTACCAGGCCTAACTAAAGTAAGTCTTCTAGTAATAAATAATAATACAGTGGACCCCCGCATAACGATCACCTCCGAATGCGACCAATTATGTAAGTGTATTTATGTAAGTGCGTTTGTACGTGTATGTTTGGGGGTCTGAAATGGACTAATCTACTTCACAATATTCCTTATGGGAACAAATTCGGTCAGTACTGGCACCTGAACATACTTCTGGAGTGAAAAAATATCGTTAACCGGGGGTCCACTGTATAATAACTTTATTTCTACAAGTACATGTGCAGGGTATATAGGCCTAGCTGACATAAGTGACATACTACTATATAGAAAGCCGCTTGTTATGCAGAGCATTTCGGGCAAATTAGGTCAGTTTTGTCCCAGGATGCGACCCACACCAGTTGACTAACACCCAAGTAGCCATTTTATACTGATGGGTGAACATGGATAGCAGGTGTCTTGTGGAAACATGTCCGAATGTTTTCCAGCCATTCCAGGGATTCGATCTCCGGACCTCAGTGTGAGAGCTGAGTGCACTAGCAATTGGGCTTCGGAACACCCTGTCGAGCTACAGTATTGTAGTGTAGTTTTTGAAGTAAATTAATGGATTCTCAAGGAAGTACATATACTGAGCAGTTAATTTGTTTTTATTTTCTAGCAAACATTTAAATTTCTGCCAACAGGGACAGTTTTGATGCCCTGCTGATATCGTGAGCTGGATAATTTTGTGTCAAAGGCAGTGTCAGCACCTGTTTTTGGACTGAATGTTCCCAAGTTTTCATGCACATTTTTGTCTTTTATCATGTCCTTTTTTTTTTCTCCCCCCTTGGTCTGTAATACAGGAGGGTCCCGGTGATAAGCGAAAATCGCCATTGGGAGGAAAATATAATTTTTTTCTATACCAAATGCATCTAAAGTGCCTGACAACATGTTTACACTATCATATATTAGGTGCTCAATGCAGCTATGCATAAAAAAACAGATACAGAATTATAATAATTACACAGTACATACAATACTTACCTTAAAATATCATGCCAGTTGCTCTTCCCTTACACAACTGTTGTGCAAAAACGGCGAAAAAATGGAAAAAATGCCAAACATAATGAACAGTGGATCAGTTGAAAACCACCAAAAACATGGAACATCAAAAAGATGGTAATGAATACATGTATGTGGGGCCCTCCTGTATACTGTATACGTATAGTATGGTACAGTATGTGTAAGTGTTAAACTTACTGGGAGTCTTGCATGTAGTGTCAAGTTACCACCTCTCATGGAAGGTGCCTTGATGCTGTTGAAGGGCTCTAAGTACAAGGAATTGGACTTGCCCTTTCCTTCCTTGGATCATACCCAAAATACCTTTTTATTCTCCAGGGGCTGCATGACCCCTATGGGTTTAGCACCTTTCTCCTTCCTTGGATCAAACCTAAAATGCCTCTTTATTCCACAGGGTATGTATGACCCCAGTGAGTGTAGAACTTCCCTCTGATTAAAAAAAAAAAAAATGCCAAGTGACCCTTGAGGGAGGGCTTTCCCAGAGTTTGGTTAGGTCAGCCATTGCACTAAAACTTTGCACTAAACATTATTAAAGTAATCTTCCAATAATATTCAACAATTCAGTTTTAATTTTAATCTTGGCTGTGCACATGACATTAGCTGTCCCACATCCAACTTGTTTGTACAACCTTTTTTTTTAAATGTCTTGGAATAGATAAAGTAGTATGTTTCCTTGTAGCAGCAACAGATATATGAAGTACCTCGGTACTCAAATTTCTTTCGTTCCAGAAGGCTGTTCGAATAGTGAACGAATTTTTCCCATAAGGAATAATTAATAATAATAATAATAATAATAATAATAATAATAATAATAATATTTTTTTTTTCTGTTATCACTAATCTTCTTAGGCCCCATGGTGACTTACTTATACAGATAATAAAAAAAACACCAAGAAATGCGAAGAAACACAAAATAGTTTACAGCAAAGCTCAGCGAAGTTTTGCACTGAGAGACAGCTGTGGGGAGACTGATGCACATTGTTTGGTTGAGTGCTGAGCAAATGATCGACTACCGAGTGATTTTTTTTACTGAACAAAGCGTTCAAACACCGAATTGTTTGAGTTAGGAGCTGTTAGAGTACCAAGGTACTACTGTACTTTCATTTCCTCTCTCCTTTACTGCATATTTTATTTTGCTTTCTGGTATCCTCATTAGTACCCTGGTTATTGCTTCATTTTGAATCATCCTTTTATTTTATTTTTTTTAAAGTTCATGGGACAAGGTTAATACAAACTGTGAGGCTAGAACATAATTAGAAGCAATACATGTAGTTTTATGTTCTTGTTATATTGCTCTACACTAAAAATTAAAAAGTTTTCCATCCCAGTTATTTATCATCACTTACTCTCATCCCTAGGTACCAGTTGGCGATCAACCAGATGACATAGAGACTCAGATTCATGAATTGATTTTATATTATATTGGAAATCCCAATTCTATTATTCTGGCAGTCACCTCAGCCAACATGGACATGGCCACATCTGAAAGTCTTAAAATGGCTAAAGAAGTTGATCCTGATGGTCGAAGAACACTAGCTGTTGTCACGAAGTTGGACCTAATGGATGCTGGTACATACATATTGTCAGTTTCTTTTGTGGTACATGTGTTAGATAATATAAATTTCACAGACATTGGTATTGACTTCGTATGTAACTTACGCAGGCAGTTTGCAGTGTCAGTATTAACTTACTTTTAACCAAAATTTAATGCAATTCCAGAAGAAGATTAGGTTACAAATTTGTATAAATTATCTGAACAAATTACTTGTTACTTGTGAAGACTAAATAACAAGAAGTCACTTGTTAGAAGCAGAATCATCAAGTGATTAGCACAGCTGAATTTTTTTATCATCATATAAAATTAATTATCCATGGAGGCAAAGAAGGGAATGTACAAAAGTATAGTGGTACCAACATTCTTGTATTGGTCTGAAGCTTGGGTTGCAAATGCTGCAGCGAGGAGGCGGCTGAAGGCAGTGGACATGTCTTGTCTAAGGGCAATGTGTGGTGTAAATATTATGCAGAGAATTCAGTGTGGAAATTAGGAGGAGGTGTGGAGTTACTAAAAATATTAGTCAAAAGGGCTGAAGAGGGGTTATTGAGGTGGTTTGGTCATTTAGAGAGAATGGATCAAAGTTGAATGACTTGGAGAGCATATAAACCTGTAGGGGAAGGAAGGCGGGGTAGGGGTCATCCTCGAAAAGGTTGGAGGGAGGGGGTAAAGGAGGATTTTGTGGGCAAGGGGCTTGGACTTCCAGCAAGCATGTGTGAGCATTTAAGATAGGAGCTAATGGAGACAAATGGTTTTTGGGACCTGACGATCTGTTGGAGTGTGAGCAGGGTAATATTTAGTGAAGGGATTCAGGGAAACTGGTTATTTTTATATAGCCGGACTTGAGTACTGGAAATGGGAAGTACAATGCCTGCACTTCAAAGGAGGGGTTTGGGATATTGGCAGTTTGAAAGGGTATGTTATAGTATATCTTCATATATGCTTCTAAACTGTTGCATCTGGGCACTTCTGCAAAAACAGTGATTATGTATGAGTGATGTGAAAGTGTTGAATGATGATGAAAGTACGTATTTTCGCTTTGGGGATTTTTTCTTTTTGGGTCGCCCTGCCTAGGTGGGAGATGGCCGACTTGGTGAAAAACAAAAAATGCTTCTAAACTGTTGTATCTGGGTGCCTCTGCAAAGACAGTGATTATGTGTGAGTGAGGTGAAAGTGCTGAAGGATGATGAAAGTATTTTCGTTTTATGGATTTTCTTTCTTTTTGGGTCACCCTGCCTCGGTGGGAGACGGCTGACTTGTTGAAAAAAAAAATTAATAATGACCATCATGCTGGTTGTCTACAGTATCCTGAACATTTCATGTTGAAATGAAAATGGAGCTGATCTGTAGGGTGAACTTTAGCATTTAATTGGAAGCAGGCAGTTGTCTAATGCTTGTTTCTAATCCTGTAATTCATTATCAACTTTTATCTCTAATGTGTTTATTGACACAAATATTGAATAATTCTTTAAATGTTCATTGAATCAGTATGATCTTCAAAGCGATAGAGCACTAAGAGCAGTATGTCGGAATAAATGTAAGTGATATTACAATCTCTGGAAATAAAAAAAAGTCTGTGACCAAAATAAACACTCTAAAAAGGATACAGTGAGCATATCATTGCTGTTGTAATTGCAGGTTAATAAGTACAGTGGACCCTCGCCTAACGAACGCATCGCATAACATTAAATTCGCCTAATGATACATTTTAACGCTAACATTTTGCCTCGGCTAACGCTAAAAAACTCGCCTAACAATATTCGTTCTCGGGTACCAATTAATATCGTTAGGTGAGGGTCCACTGTACATGGAATAATGATGTCTTCAGAGCTCAGAGAGACATCATGTAAAGGGTCTATGTAGCTTGAGGCTTGCCTGTACAGCAGTTCCTTTCTTTGAGTTCTCTGCATGCTTGTTAGCTCTTGTGTGATGATCCATTTCTACCAATAATTTTCTGTTTGCAATATAAATTAGCCCTGTGGTCAATGTGGTTTACAAACAGTTGATTCATGTTATGAAGAATTAAGTGTTGACAATCCGACTGAGATTACTGAAGAATCTGGGGATGCATCTACCACAAAGTGGTAGGTGGAACACCTACTATTATGACTCAAAGCTTGTACCAGTATTTTACTTCCTTTTTAACCCCCATAGCTTATTGATAACCATGTTAACTACTTATCATGAGCATTTTTGCATGTTTGTGACAAGATTACCTTTGATAAGATTTACATAATTATCCCTTTATCGGGCAAGTGGGCATAAAATTAGAAATTCGAACTGAACTCCCTATGGTGGATAGAGTAACTCGATACAAGGTCAATGAACCTATATAAATGGATTTCTGATGGTTAGTTTTCAAGCAATTGCTAATCTCTGAAGTCCGAAAATTTTCCCACTTGCCAGACAAAGGGAGTAAAAATCAGAATGTTGCAAACTTGCAATTGTTAATAAAACACCCAATAACTATTTTTTAAATTTATTATACAAACAGACAATATAAAAAACATAAATGGAAATTGTATCAAAACAGTTTGTATGTATTAGAAAAATATAAAAATGAAACAAATAGCAACATGGACACATTGCAAAGGAATAAAACTTTCAAGTCCCATTTTCCTGAGATTCATGAGGAAGACCAATTATTCTATATTGCTAATTGATGGTATGGTAGTCACTGAAGCAATTGCTATTACTCTTTATGCACAGATTTACTTTGCATACAGAACACTGGAATGAGGATGTGACCAATTTCTTCGAGTGGCTGCAATACTTGCAATCGTAATACCTTTCTTTTTCTTCACTAATTTCTGCTTTTTGGCTGGTCTTTCTTCCTCCTCATCATCACTTGACACCTCTGCATCCGGTGGCAAGTATTCATCACTACTATCCAGCAATTCTGGGTCATCTACCTCTGGTTCTGAGTCACTGTCATCCAAAATGCAGACATATTTCGACCTGGTGCTGGAGGGCTCCCCATAAAACAATTTCTCATTGATCTGATTTTCTCATTGATTCTGTATAGATCCAGACCACTACAGAATTCATATATGCAATAGAATTTTTTTTATAAATATTTATTTTACTGAAATTGTACTATGTCACTTCTCGGGCAGGTACGAAAATTTTCGTACTTCCTTTGTTGCACTTTTTTCAACTGCATGCTACACTCACATTATGCTTCACACGGACTTTATGTATATATCAAAAGATGCCTAAACTATTCATGTACGCACTAAACACAACAATGAGTACTTACCGACATTGTAGAAGGTAAAATCCAAGAGTATATTAGTGACACTGGATGGAAAAAACCCACTCTGGGCGACGCCAAGCCACGAGTGTTTGTTTTGATCTCTCAACCAATGGGAAGGCGGCAAACGCCATCATCACTTAGCTGAAGCGACTCAGGGAAGGCTTGTGATTGGTTAGAATTAAAGAACGGGAATCCAGATGCGCGGCGCGTGTAGGATGACACGCGTAAAGGTGCACGTGTTTAAGTAGGAAAATTTTCGGACCTGCCCGATAAAGGGTGGTTTACAAACAGTTGATTCATGTTATGAAGAATTAAGTGTTGACGATCCGACTGAGATTACTGAAGAATCTGGGGATGCATCTACCACAAAGTGGTAGGTGGAACACCTACTATTATGACTCAAAGCTTGTACCCGTATTTTACTTCCTTTTTAACCCCCATAGCTTATTGATAACCATGTTAACTACTTATCATGAGCAGTTTTGCATGTTTGTGACAAGATTACCTTTGATAAGATTTACATAACAATATTTTTTTTTTTTTTTCCTTCAACAAGTCGGCCGTCTCCCACCAAGGCAGGGTGACATAACAAATATGAAGTGTTAATTTATAATACTTAGGAACAAAACAGACACAGGCAGACTGGACACTCCAATATTTTTCACTTTGAGACCAAGCTTTTTCAAGTCTATAGGGAGCATTTCTACTGTTCTCACTCTACCTACAGCTCATGTTTTTCATGTTCTATCCATAGACTTTTTTCTGCAAGTGAAATATAGATTTATTAATGTGAACATTATGCCTTTGGGTCTCTGTTTTGCAGAGTGTCTATATTTTATGTCTTATGCCCAGTACTTAGGAAATCTGAATTTCAGGAACTGATGCCATTGATACACTGTGTGGACGTATTATACCTGTGAAACTGGGCATAATTGGTGTTGTGAATCGGTCACAACAAGACATCATAGATGGCAAGGTAAGCTTCATGTATATTCTCGAAGTTAATGTAATTATATAAAATTAGTGTTTTGAATCAAATTAAATTGTTTTAAATTATTTTTTATTCTGAAATTTCTTAGAAAATGAGTGGTTTGAGTATAGAACATACAAAGTTTCTTTATAGGACACTTGTTTTATTGAATTTAGTTAATGAAATCCATTCATACAAAACATAATTTAAAATATGATTTGAGTGAAATTATTGAATATGGAGCTCTCACAGTTGAAGCCACTTGTTTGAAAAAGTGGTAAAATAAGAGGTAACTTGTGGATTTAAGAATGTAGTGTTAGCATGCAGGAGAGGTTTGTCATACAGATGGGTGGGTGCTGGAGGAAAGATGAATGATTGGTGGAATGATGAGGTGAAGAGGGTAGAAAGGAGAGAGAAAGTTAGTATGAAAAAGTTTTTTGCAATTTAAAATGTACAGTATATAAATATGAAAGCCAAAGAATATGCAGAAGAGGAGAGATCAAGAGCGGTGGTGAGTAATAAGAATAAATAATGTATTGGGAAAATTTCCTTAGAATACAAAAGCATGTGAGAAGTGGATGGGAAGTACTGTGCCTTCACTCTACAAGAAGAGTGGTGATGCTGCAGTTTGAAGGGTCATCTGAGCTGTGATGTCAACATGTTTTTGGAAAGTCAGTGATTAAGTGAATGACAGTGAAAGTTTTTCTTTTTTGGGTCACTATTCCTTGGTGGAAGATGCTCAATGTCTTGCAAAAAAAAAATGTGGTGAGTAAATCTGTCAGTTAGAAGTGATAGTGGTAAGATATTGGAAGCTGAAGGTATTGGAGATGTGGAGAGAGTATTTTGATTTGTTAAAAAGGATGATGAAAGGGAGGCATGGATTTTATCTATGGGGGCAAGGAATAAGATTTGTTAGGAGGAAGACAGATTCCAAAGTATGTCTAGAGAAAGTGAATGAGGCAACAACCAAATTGAGAGAGGGCTAAAAGATGCTGTTTACTGATAATGCAATTCACTTGCGACAGATTTGGAAAAAAAAAAGAGCTTACAGAGTTTGGGGGAGGTATTTGGGAGACTGTAAAACATGGGAATTAAAAGTGAATGCAGACTCCTTTTCCCCAAGGATGGTAGTAAGAGGTCAAGGCAATGGAAGATTAGACACCAGATTGAAGGGATAGAGGATGGAGGATGTACAGTGGAACCCTGAGTTTCGAACGCATTGACTATCGATCGCTTCGAGTTTTGACTGCTTTTTTCGCGCCAGTTTTGTCCCTAGTATCGAACATGTCCAGTGTTTCGAACTGTGTACCAGACCTGTCCACCTGCCCCGCGCCTGCATGCCTCCACACGCAGGCATCGTGAGTCAGTCTGGCTTTGTTTCTCGAGTGAACATTATATACTAGGCATTTCAAGTGCCCTAAAGCGATAAAATGCATATACAGTACACTCATTACTTACCTTAAAATATTTGTAGTCTTAATGGTCTTAATATAGGGTGCAAGGTGAATAGTAAGGCAGGTAGGTATCAAAGTGTGGTAGGTATGTAACCCCCATGTTCGCGAGTTTTGTAAACAGACAAGTTGTTGTTGTTGATACCAGCCTGGACATGAATAGTTTTTGTTCACTTCATCAAGCTGACTGGAAAAACATCTCATATTTATGTTAATTTATATGTTATGTTGCATGTTTATTACAGTGGACCCCCAGATAACGTAATTAATCCGTTCCAGAGAGAGTCTTATACCGAATCTGACTTAATCCAAATGAATTTTCCCCATAAGAAATAATGGAAATCCAATTAATCCATTTGAGACACCCAAAAGTATTAAAAAAAATGTTTTCTACATGAAATATACATTTACTTACACAGAAAACAATGATACATGAATAATAAAAAAATAATAACATCACACTCACCTTCATTGAAGACATGGTTATGTATGGAAGACGGGAGGAGGGGAGAGGATGGAGGAGTTTACAATTGTTTGGAAGGAAATTCCATTCCATAAAGACTTCAGGTACCAAGTCCTTATCCTGGGTTACTTCCCTCCGTTGTTTTTTAATGCCACTAGGACCAGCTTGAGAGTCACTGGACCCCTGTCGCTCAAAAAAGTTTTCCAGAGAGGTCTGTTTCTGGCTTATGTTAGGAATTGTGTTGGGAGACATGACAAGATAGTCCTTTAATATGACACTAATATCAGCTCTACGGCTTATTTATCTAGCACAATTCATCTAATGTGACATAATAAACAATATTAATAACATAGAAACATGACATATACTCTAGAATGAATAAAATATGTCATTAAGTATGTCATGAGTGTTGCTGTGTTGTTGTTGTTGGGTGTATAAGGGCCACTGAGACATAAGCTGTACATGGTGGTGGACGTGGCAGCAGCGGTAGACTAGAGACGGCGGTGTTGTCAGTTGCCCTATATAACTCCTCCAACATTGGAGGAGTTAGGGTTGTGCTGTCCTTTTTCTGTTGATTAATCATTTAACTTACTATAGTTAATGCTACACTTTATTGCTGGCTGCTGCTATAGGCTTTATAGAGTTCTGCTGCTTTAGTATCGTACATATTGTAGAATCACTGAAAAAGGCGCATTCTCCCCTCTCTCTTAGCCGTTTACCAAAGGGCTGGCTGGCACTAGAAGCTTTCTTTGGGCCCATGGTGGTTTATTTAGCAGTTACAAGCACTAAAAAGAATGGAATAATACAAAATGTATCGTATGAATGCATGGGATTGTCCTCACTGGCTGGTAAACAATGGCACACTGGGCAGCTCAGGCCTCGACACGAATAACTTATACTGAGTTCAGTGACGTTCATCGAGCCAATATTTTGACGCGAAAACATTACTTATTCCAATTACTACTTATTCCAATTATTACTTATTCCGATGACGTCTTAATCCGGGGGTCCACTGTATATAATTTTGAAAAAATATCATAGATGGATTAAGCAAAATGTCCATATTGACATTTTTATGCGACATTTGATGCACCTCAGAGTGATTGTTAATTTTTTTTTTTTTTTTAACAAGTCGGCCATCTCCCACCGAGGCAGGGTGACCCAAAAAAGAAAGAAAATACTTTCATCATCATTCAACACTTTCACCTCACATAAACATAATCACTGTTTTTGCAGAGGTGCTCAGAACACAACAGCTTAGAAGCATATACCTATAAAGATACACAACATATCCCTCCAAACTGCTAATATCCTTAACCCCCCTCCTTTAGAGTGCAGGCATTGTACTTCCCATTTCCAGGACTCAAGTCCGGCTATAAAAATAACCGGTTTCCCTGGTGGCCTGGTGGTTAACGCTCTCGCTTCACACGATGAGGGCCTGGGTTCGATTCCCAGCCAGAGTAGAAACATTGGACGTGTTTCTTTCCACCTGTTGTCTATGTTCCCCATCGGTAAAATGGGTACCTGGGTGTTAGTCGACTGGTGTGGGTCGCATCCTGGGACACTGACCTAAGGAGGCCTGGTCACAGACCGGGCCGCGGGGGCGTTGACCCCCGGAACTCACTCCAGATAAACTCCAGAATCCCTTCACTAAATATTACCCTACTCACACTCCAACAGATCGTCAGGTCCCAAATACCATTCATCTCCATTCACTCCTATCTAACACGCTCGTGCACGCTTGCTGGAAGTCCAAGCCCCTCGCCCACAAAACCTCCTTTACTCCCTCCCTCCAACCTTTTTGAGGACGACCCCTACCCCGCCTTCCTTCCCCTACAGATTTATACGCTCTCCATGTCATTCTACTTTGATCCATTTTCTCTAAATGACCAAGCCACCTCAACAACCCCTCTTCAGCCCTCTGACTAATACTTTTATTAACTCCACACCTTTTCCTAATTTCCACACTCCGAATTTTCTGCATAATATTTACACCACACATTGCCCTTAGTAGTAGGTTGGTTATAGTAGTAGGTTGGTAGACAACAACCACCCAGGGAAGTACTACCGTCCTGCCAGATGACTGTGAAACGGAAACCTGTAACTGTTTTGCATGATGGTAGGATTGCTGGTTTCTTTTTCTGTCTCATAAACACGCTAGATAACAGGGATATCTTGCTACTCCTACTTACACTTTGGTCACACTTCACAGACCCGCACATGCATATATATATATATACATACATCTAGGTTTTTCTCCTTTTTCTAAATAGCTCTTGTTCTTCTTTATTTCTTCTATTGCCCATGGGGAAGTGGAAAAGAATCTTTGCTCCGTAAGCCATGCGTGTCGTATGAGGCGACTAAAATGCTGGGAGCAATGGGCTAGTAACCCCTTCTCCTGTAGACATTTACTAAAAAAGAGAAGAAGAAAAACTTTATAAAACTGGGATGCTTGAATGTGCATGGATGTAGTGTGGATGACAAGAAACAGATGATTGCTGATGTTATGAATGAAAAGAAGTTGGATGTCCTGGCCCTAAGCGAAACAAAGCTGAAGGGGGTAGGGGAGTTTCGGTGGGGGGAAATAAATGGGATTAAATCTGGAGTATCTGAGAGAGTTAGAGCAAAGGAAGGGGTAGCAGTAATGTTGAAGGATCAGTTATGGAAGGAGAAAAGAGAATGTGAATGTGTAAATTCAAGAATTATGTGGTTTAAAGTAAAGGTTGGATGCGAAAAGTGGGTCATAATAAGCGTGTATGCACCTGGAGAAGAGAGGAATGTAGAGGAGAGAGAGAGATTTTGGGAGATGTTAAGTGAATGTATAGGAGCCTTTGAACCAAGTGAGAGAGTAATTGTGGTAGGGGACCTGAATGCTAAAGTAGGAGAAACTTTTAGAGAGGGTGTGGTAGGTAAGTTTGGGGTGCCAGGTGTAAATGATAATGGGAGCCCTTTGATTGAACTTTGTATAGAAAGGGGTTTAGTTATAGGTAATACATATTTTAAGAAAAAGAGGATAAATAAGTATACAAGATATGATGTAGGGCAAAATGACAGTAGTTTGTTGGATTATGTATTGGTAGATAAAAGACTAT